CACACACACACACACACACACACACACACATGTATATAAACCAAAGACATTGCAAAAGCAACAGATGTAAAATACTTTAGTTATAGACTAATACTTAGATAAGACTAGATATTCGTAACTAGTTGCACTCTACAAATTCAAATTTGAAATGAAAAATAGGAAAATTGTAGTAAAATATATCCCGTATATATGTATTTATATGGTATTAGAAATTATGTTCAGTAAAAAGCATTGAAAGTAGAATAATGCATGAATGGAGGGCGAGAAACGTTCGTGTAAAAAAGAATCAGGGCACGCAAGGGGGCGGGGGGGCACACGCGAGCGGGGAAGAAGTACGCGAACGGGTAGGTAGGTGACAGTTTCAGAATTTCGAGAACACGAGCGAGACGAAACAACGCGACGGAGGGGCAAAGAGAGGAGGAGGGAGGCTCGTGCTCGTCCCGTGGTTTCCGTAAATGGCGCAGCCACGACCGGAAGTGGCGGTCGCATCAGTCTGTTTAATAGCCGTATTGTATAATTATGAACAATGGAGAGATAGAGAGAGATAGATGGGGAGGAGAGACGGAGAGAAGCCTGGAGAAGGGCAGAAGCCAGCAGAGTGTCATGTGAAATGCACACCGCATGAAGGTAGAGCGTGAGGTAGAGAGAGAAAGAGAAAGGCAGCAGCAACGAGGGAAGGAATGAGATACGTTTGTCTCGCGAGCGAGCGAGAGGTCCGCGAGTTAGATGGAGTGAGATGGAAGGAACGCGGCCCGGGGGAGAGAACGGGGACCGCAACGGGGACGAACACGACGAGAGCCGTATGGCTTATGGTTGCCAGCCACCGTAGAACACGTCCGCCCGTTCGTCGTACATGACGGATGACACAGAGCGACAGTTTTGATGCGTTTCCAACCTCTCCAGGAGCCGAGCCTATCCCGCCGCACATACAGGCGTGTACGTGCCCTACGCCTATATGCGCGCGAGGGTGGGTGGCGGCGAGAGGGAGGAGGAGGGCTAGTGGATGTGCGTCGCGGTTAACACGCCAAGCCACGCGTGAATCCGTCATTAATACCGTCACTCCGGAGACGATGGGCTTCGCGATCGCGCGGCTGAAACATCAGCTGAGCGGATCAACAGCCGGACCATTCGTGACGTCCTCTCCCAAAATGGCAGCATATTGTCTGTCGCAACTGTGCGTGACGCGGAGTGTGCGCTTCCCGAAATCATGCCCATACGCGACGCCTCGATAGGGACAGACGGGACTTTGAGAATGGATCGCTTAACTCGATGATTTTCATACATTCCTAGTCTCAAGATTAATCCGGACGACAGCTCCTACGTGAAACATATTCACGTCTCGCGAGTGAAAAAAAAAGGAAAGGTAGGAAATCCTGATACTTACGGCTTGCTCGATAGACGGTTATTGTGCCTGGGTTTCGAAATTTCTTTCTCGTGCAGCTTCTTGCCGATTCCGCCGATTCGTTGCGGCGGATCCCTCAACGCGAAACTCTTGGCATAGTGACCCAAATGAAGCACCTTTCGATTGAATATCTCGCGCATATCGCGCGGATAACTTGAATAGAAACGCATCCAGGAGACGTAGGCTACGGAAAAGAAAGATTTTCAATGTAAAATAAAACAATTATCTTTCCACCTACCCATTGTTCTCAATTGCAGATATACACGTGTATATGCAGTCAGATTATTTGCAGACACGTACGATAAAAAGTACGATAAAAAAATGTGTGTACCACAATTGTTATTGTTAAATGCGATAATTGAAGGGCTTCCTAGAAGAACGTTACATCTAACATTTTTTGCATGCGATGCTTTTCCAAGTAACGTTTTTCCATTACTTTTCATAATAATGATAATTACAACGTTTTTCCAGGGAGTCTGTCAATTGGAGAAATCATAGATATAATAAGTATAGGGTATAGATTGCATATCTTGGTCTTAGCTGTTGCGTTAGAAAGAATTGAACATATCAGCGTTTCTCTTCAACTTAATACTTTAGAGAGAAAGAACGAAAGAGTGATATACTTCAAGCCACTTCTCTCTTTCTAAACCGAGAGTGACAACTTCGTAGGAACGCGTAGTACATTTTTATTGCATATTTCTATGGGAGAAATAAATATGTATTGCGTTCAAATTAATCGCAAGTTTTGGTACTGTCATAACGAACTATTAAAAAAAAATGTGCGTTGCAATTAATAGTATAAAACATTAAATTCGTGTAGTCTCTCAAGATACAAGGAGTACGTGTAAAATGCGGATAAAATCGAGAAATGTCGCGTCAAGTACACTTATCTCGTCTACGTTTAAGAGGTCACGTGCAACTCTCGGATGTAATGATCAGTTACATGTAGTGCGCCCTTATTAATCGCAGTTCCATTAGGTGGTTCCACGGGGGTTGGACTGCGCGATTCCGTGGGGTGTGTGCGCGCCCCGTGGCGGGCTATTAAGAGGCATTAACGGTGAGGAGGGGGTAGTCGAGTCAAGTGCTGCAGCTAATAGTCACCCTCGCGTCCCTTCTTAACGTCTCTTGCTTGTGCGCACGGGTGAGAAACCCGGGGGATCTGTGGTTCTAAGAGAACTCGACATATGCACACCGTTGGCGTTCCGTGTGAAAAATCTCTCGATAGAGAGGATAAATTCGGCCTCCGGTTGTTCATACCGAGCGTCACAAATTGCTTAAACTTTCTGTATTTTAGCAGCGAAGATCTTTCGCGTAAGATTATTACACTACGGGTGCGATCTGTTTAACTCTACAAAAATGCTTCGAAGTATTTAAATAAACAAGATCAGAAGGAAAAAATTTTATTAATTAATCCAAAAGAATGTTTCAAAGCGTTTATAACATTAAGTAGACTGTAGTCTATAATGTCTATATAAATGGGGTTATAACAAGAATAGGATGGAATAAGATACGAAACAGGGGAAAAATATCTCGTGTTTTTTAATCGTCGGTTTTCAAATCAATTTTAAATACGCTATCGTATTTTTGCGTATAGATGTGGCATCTATTTTTTTTTTTTAATATATAATGAACACGTTTACATATGGCCAAATAGATTTAGTTACACGTTCCACTTGAAATGGAAATTTCATCTGTAAGTATCTCTAATTTTTATAATTTCTTTCGCGATAGGACTGATGTCTCAACGTTTTCCGTCCTGATTTCCGTCTGCTTCCAATCTCGGCACCTCCCTTCTGCGCATAAGAAACACTGCTGGAGTCTTTCTTGTGGCTTGGTGTCAGCGTTGAAAAGGGAGAAATGTTTTTCTCCATTTAGCACATAAATCACACGTGGGGGCGGTGTCTAACTGAGAAGCCAGAGTGGCGGGAAGAACGGGGATGTAAGAGTGGGGTAGCATTGTTCCTAAGTGATGTAACTGCGTCTTATTGTATTTGTATCCTGTATCGCATTGTTAAGAGTCTCTCGCCACAAAGCGTAAGTGGTTTTGGCGGAAGTCACATTCAGTGGTTGGATTGTGTCGGCCACCCTCTGTGAAAGGCGCGCGAACGATATACAGCGAATTCGATCTAACTCGCGACGAGTGCGTGAGATTAGCTCAGCATCGTCACAATATTGTCGTGACAATAATTAGAAAAAATTTATATAAAAATATATAAATTTTTTTTTTATACAAGTGCTTATAAAATCTCGATTGTAAACTGATGAAAAATAGGATACAGACAAATTCATAGCCATCTGAAATCTGCACGAGTATCAAATATATCAAGTATATGAATTTACGTATATTATTATCTTGAGTTTAAATCAAGTAAGTCATTTAATCGAAACAAGATCAAATCTACAAGATCTAATTATTATCTGTTACGCTATTTCCGCTAAGTTATAATATTAATAGAAAATATTTCTAGAGAATTATGACGAATGGAATATAGCCGACCGACACGAGACTCAAATCGTATATATGGGATATAGGAGTGAGGGATGAATCTCTCAGGTTAGTGGCAAGGGTCGCAGCTTGGGGGTTGTTCTATAGAGCTGTACTTGCTATTGAAGGCTGTTCGGCTCTATTGGGGTGATAATATTACGAATTAGCGAGATTTCCACTTCTCTGCTCGTCGACCGGTCTTCGCTTCAGTTGCGAATTAAATAAATTTCGGAATTGTCGCGACGAACGCAGAATGTGTTCACGTGCCGCGCTATTTTCTATTGTGCTTCTGTTGTACGAACTTTTTTACGATCTTAATTCCTATACTTGCCTTGTATTACGTCTGATATACCACGCTGATTTAAGTACAGCTGACTTTTTTCCAGCTTAATTGTATAAAATGTAAAATAGCTGATATTAAATGCATGATTACATAAAATAGCAATAAAATTGCAAATAAAAAGAAATATTGGAATATCTGAAAATAATTCTTATTTGTAATAAAGTGTGTAAAAAAAATCTATAAAAAATATATAATCAATACTAGCAAATGCAGACAATATGTTATTATTTATGAGATAAACAAAAATATTTCGCAGTGAAAATATTTTTCAATATTATTGTCGTCTTTGTTACAAGAGATTTCCCCAAACATTTCGAATTATTTTCGTCGCTATGAGCATATATTAGAACAAACGAATGACAGACAATAAACGCAAATGGTTTCAGTAGATATATCGAAAGATGTTAACTAATTTGTTATCCACTTCCTGCTTTCCTCTCATTCGCTCCCTCGGTTTCCATGCGAAAAGTGCAATACCGAGGTCACGAACGGCGGCAGCAATTAATCTATCAATCACTCAGTACGTGCGGAGGAACGGTCAAGTGGTTAGCTGTGTAACGTCACTCAAATCTGGGGCGGCTAAGCGCTCAAAAACCGTGGCTAACCTTCGTGTAAAGCCTTGGCTGATGCGGGATAATTTCGAAGCTTGAAAACCTCTTAAAAAGATTAATGGTCCCGAATTTCCTTTTTGGAAATGTTCGTCGATTGTGCGGTTATGGCAATTGACGTAACGCCAGTCGTTAATGCACTTTCGTAAAAGTAATCTTCGTAAGATAAGCAAAATTCGTTTATACATGTCACTATTAGTGCCTCACGAGCAAAAATTTGCTAAAGCTTTTCATGTTTGATAACAGAAAATTTAAAATTAAGTACATATTCGTATTTATAAGCGATAAAGTTTACCTTCCGCTGAATAAATAAGCTGAATAATCAAGAAGAAGGTTTAAGGAAGCAACAAGTTAACTGGCGATATTTATATGGAAAAGCAAATAGATTTGCGGGGAAAAAAAAAAATCATCGTGAATGTGAAGAGGGCTAATGTCTTCACTTCACGAGTATTAGACCGGGTATAATGGATTTATTATTGCAGCAAATAAATTCTTCTCCATGACGACCCTAATAGAGTAACCATAGCATAGCAAACAGGATCATCCCTCCTCGTTCGTAGACTATGTAAATATCCAAGTGGCGAACGAGGCAAATGTGAAGGGAGACGGAATAAGAGCCCCATAACGCGTACGCGTAGGGGTTGCTTTATATGCGAGTGGGGTGCTCGCTGGAATTGGCTTAGTCTACCCTGAAAGTCAGCTCGCTTTCGTTACAATCCAACTGCGTCAAAGTAGATGTTCACTCATCCTTCGCAACTCCTCATCAACACTTTGCCTCTCATGAAAGCAAAGATTTAAGCTTTTATTGTACGCGCACTTTTAAAATATATGTAGAAATATATATGTTAATAATTAGAAAAGGATTATATAATTATTTATTTTAACACAACAAATGCCTTGCTATCGTATCATTCAGTTGATGCTATAGTACCAAATTCATACACGGAAGCAACGATTATGCTGAAATATCTAATTAGATACAGATCTGAAAATAGTTTTGTTTGAACCGTCAAAATAATTATGGACATTTACTGATTGTTACAATTGTTACAATTGTTTGTCATCAATGTTTAAACATTCCACATATTTATTTTGATGTTTCAACAAAATTATTTTCAGATCTGTATCTAGCTAAATTTTTAGATACTTTGATTCTTTCCCGAGGCAACATATCTGATTAAAAATCTTAAATGATTATTAACTTTATAAAATCAAAGAAAAAATATATACTTTTATTACGTAGCGCGAATCGTAAAATATTGCACTTACCTTTACACGCTTTCGCGCCAAGTCGCCGATTCTCCAGTACTAAATCTTCAAAATCGTTTTGAAGGGCGACAGCCGCTGCCTGCACGGAGTTGTGCTTGGAAAGAGGTCCCAGCAGCTTATCCAGGACATCGTTCATGTCCTGCTGCTTGATTCTGATGCGCCTCGACTCGAGCATCCGTACGAATTCGATTTCCGAGGGCGTTAGGAAGATTGTCGCCGTGCCGGAACAACCAGCGCGCGCGGTTCTACCGATTCGATGAACGTAGTCTCTAGCCGAAATTGGACCGGTATACTGAACAACACAGTCTACTTTCGGCATATCTAATCCTCGAGCTGCGACATCCTGGACAATTGAAAAGAAAAAAAATATTTTTTCTTACATACTCTGGACTTAATTGGCAATCTGCCACGTCAAATGTTTTCCAAAGAGCCTGTATTGAACATAAGTATAAAAAAAAAAAAAAATCTAAATCTGCTGTTTAACAAATAATATATTGTAATTGTTCATAAGTTACATCACGCGTGTATTCTAAAAAAAAAAAAAAGGTGTAGTTTCAGATCTTTTCTAGATCGAAGTACGAAAGCACCTCGAATGTGATATTGAACAATTCGAATGAGAACCAGAACCTTGTCATTTCCCTTGCAATTTGTCCGGGACAATGTTCTCGGTAGTTATCGCTCCCCGACTCTACGAGAAGTGGCTCGTTCCACGAACAAGAGCGGCAACGGCGAGTCTGCGACCTGCTGGTACAAATGTCTTACAAACCGCGGCGATTTCTCGTTTTGTGGCGACGTGAATGCACACGGCTGGCAGCGGAGCGCCCGCTGCGAGACCCCAACGGCGAACGTTTGAGCACGGCCCTGATTTCGACGTTCGGCTAGTCGATGATTTACCGCGGCGAAGGCCTCACCGGGTCTCTCCGCTTGACGGGCCCCGAGGACTAATCCCAGACCATCGGTAGGGGGCGTCGTGGCACCCCGGAATTCTTTCGCGGCACGATACGGACGTGCATCCGTGTATTCTTATTACATCTTTTCCTGCTATTAATTCAACATACGTCGACGACGGCGCGATCCGGGCGCCAGCGTGAAGGAGTACGAGAAAGGAACCCCCAACCAATCGAAATAAATGTCGATCGGATCGAATCTCTTGAGCTCGTCCCGTGATTCCGTTACATTTTATCGCTTGGTGAATATCGATAAAACAATTTCTATTTATTTCGTGCGATTAAAAATATCAATGGGGAAAAAAAGAGAAGACTGAATGAGAGGAAAAATCGATACCTGTAATATTGGAATTTTATACAGCATTACGTTCGTGCATGAAGAAAGAATGGTTGTGTTGAAATATCTAAAAATTTAACGTATATAGACGTAGATCTGAAAATAATTTTGTGAGATAATCGGCATAACTGTAGAACGAAGAGTTGCTACAAAAAAAAGTTTTAATATTCCAGCAACTGGTTTGAGCATCCTACATAATTATTTTGATTTTATCCAAACAAAATTATTTTTAAATCTATATTTATATAATTAAATCGTAAAATATTTTACGAAAATCATCCTTTTCGCGCAAAACTACAAAGTGTTACAAAAACACATTAATGATTTATCTACATAATTTTCACGAATAGTTACAGAATGTCTATTATATATAAAAAAAATAATAATAATAAAAATTAGTCGAGCTTTTAATGTTTAACATTAACTAATTAATGATATTATCATGGTTTAAGTTATCACTTAAAGCTGATTTTGCCAAAGAATATTTCTCTAAAATTTAACGTAAGCCTGTAATTATGTGTACAGTACTCATAAACATTTTTTTCAACACATTAAAACGCTACAAGCGCACGATACCTGCCACCGGTTTCAACACACGTAAAGAGAGCGACACGCTGAAGAGCGATCGATGGCGGCGATTAAGACAAACGATCGTTTAAGAAAGGGACCGGGGATCGTAGGCCGCGGGATCGAGAACGGATCGCCCGTTCAAAACATCTCACTCGGGCCATAGATCACACCGTGGATCCGGATCCACCACCGCTGAGAGCCGCGGAATATTCCGGCCGCGGGTGCCCTCGAGGCTTTTCAACGTGGAAATTAATAACGCGGCCGTAAAACCTGCGTAGTAGCGACGCCGTAAAACGTGGGCGGTTGCCATCGCACATTCCGTGGGTCAACATTAAGGAGTTAAATATGCCCGATGTCTCTCTAAGTACACAATAAATTATTCCATTTTCTTCCTTCTCCCTCTTGTGCTTGCTCCAACGTTAGCAATTATGTCAATATGTTCGCGCAACTGGGATTCATTGGTTTAATAACACGTAAACTCGTGGTATGCTCTTAGCAGCGTAATTATTCACGTATTTTTAATATTTTTGATTTTTTACATTTTAATAAACGGTAAATCTACTTGTTTTTAGGATTAAATGCAATCAAATATTTAAAATCAACGAAAATAAATGTAGTAAATTTGGAATTGATTAAATTCGGTTTTTCAAAATGTTAAAATTAAAAATGATACATTATACCTTGCAGGATAATCCTATACTAACATAAACACAATAAAATATAAAAATAAAATATATAAATATTCTTTATACTTTATAATCAAGAATCGTGAATTAAAGATTATTTAATCTATATTAACGTAACGCAACTAAACAAAAATATGTAAAAAATAATGTTATAAATGTAATAAATATTATAACATAATTTAAGAAAATTAGTTTCTTACTAGAATAATTAAAACGTTAGATATATATAAATTAATCAATGTTTATATTGCCATAAAATGTTGAGAATTTTTAATAATGAGGTAACATTATATATTTGCATGCTTCTAAAGAAGTACAAAATATATTCGATCATAATTTTAGTCTTTCTACATATTAATTGCCTCACTTCATTACAGTAAGTATATTCACACGAGTAATTTCTTTATTCAAAGTTGTTTTGTCAGAGAAATTATAGCATATGCGAAATCACTCCCAGAGTGAATAAAACTGTGAGAAAAGAAAGCTATAAAGTATAACGAATGAATGTCCGTTATATTCAGAATCAATTTTGTAGATTTTGATCTTGTTGTTCTTTTTTATAGGGCGATTCGTGATACGCGCAATTCGAAAGAATGGGTCGTTAATTAATCGTAAAGTATACAGCTTAACGAGGACCTGCGACGAGACTTCGAAATTTTCGAATCGAACATCGACTTCACAAGAAATTGCCTGATGGAAAAGAATTAATTTTCACGATGCGTAAGTTGTCATTCGTTTGCGTGACGCCGATCGTGAAGTTTACAATTTGCAAATCCTGCCGCGATTTAATATATTTTTTTTTCTTTCTTTTGCACGCGTTCTTCCGATATCTGCGATACTTTCAGACACGTGAAAGTGCCATAACAGTATTTCATGTTAAAATCTAAATTGGTCGATGAAGAAATGAGACCCACTGTGTCGTTTTATTTTCGACAGTCTATGCCCCGCGTCTAATGACGAAATTGATCGCTTTCACCGGTAATTACGGCAGTTAAAGCAGTCACCGAGAGTTCAATGTGAATCAGAAAGTTGTTCTGTTATTCGACATCAGATTAATTCGGCCAATGTAATACAAATGTAATTAGCAGCGGGGAGAAAGAAAGTTATCCGTTACTTCGCAAACATTATCGCGTCATGATTAATTATGCTGTTCGCGGAATGCAATTAGTGGAACAGACACTTCTGTGATCTATCACAAATAGGTAAATATTTTGCGTTTACTATTCGATTCGAATAAGAAATATCTTTAAAGATTTTATTGGAGAGTCCCGCGGTTTGGGTCTCACAGAAGATTAGTAATTATTAGTAATTAATAAAAAAAAAATAATAAGAAAAAATTGTTATTGCAAAGTTTGGACTTCTATAAACAATTGTTCGGTGAAGTAAAGAAAGCTCCGATACGGAGAACAGACAAATGATAGTAATTATACTCATTACGAAGGTTTCATGCGTCTGCATAATTTTTAACCTCCGAACACAGCGTGGGTCCAGAGGTATTAAATTCCCTCTTGAAAGAATAAGCCACGATGTAATTTACAGCTCAGGGAGTGCCGACAGATATTCTTGGCTTTTCTTTCGTTGTTATTCTTTCGTCGCTATTCTCTCTTAATTTTTCAACGCTCCCATCTCTCTTATACGCTTTTATTTTTATTTATATAATAATTAATTTTTTTTAAGTATATATATATATATATATTGGCTCCAAGTAAAACATCTTATGACGTGCAATGTATATTTAAGAGTAAATAAATAAAGAAATTTAAATATTTATAATGTGCAAAAGAATAAAAACTTAATGTCCACAATATATTCGTAAACATTTCAAATATTTTATGCTATTATCGATAAAATGTACGACTTACTGTGCACAATAGTACTCCACTTTTCGCTTGGCTGAAAGTTTTGAAGACTTCTGTCCTTTCCTTCTGTGTCATATTACCGTGTAGTTTAAAGAATTCTACATCAACCATCGGATCGGAGTCTTCGTCATCATCGTCTATTGGTTTCGTAAGAATAGAAGATAAAATTTCGGTATGATAATCTACCATATCTTGTGTAGCCATAAAAATCAGTATTTTATGCTGTCCAGGAGTCTATAGAAAAAAAAAAAATGGAAAATGCTACTTGCCCACTAATCGTAAATCAACGCAACAATGCTATAGTATTGATAACATGGAGATTTTCTTACTTGACATCTCCCGGCAATGTAAGCGCTTAAAGTGACTATTCTTAATTTGGGCGGAGTGACTATGTAACTCTGAATTACACTTTGCGGAACTATTAGGTCTTCATTAATCGTACTAGTATCTCCCCCGATCACTTCTAAATTTTTTTTAGCTGCGTCAACGAAGATTGGATCCTGCATCGTGAGACCCGCTAATTTTTCAACAGCTTGTGTCAAAGTTGCAGACAATAAAATTGTCTGCCTTCTCCATTGATTTTCATAATCTTGCTTGACATTTTGAATACTTTCTATTGTCAAATCAGATTTTTCATTTACACCGAAACTCTTTGTATCTTTTTTCCTTTTTTTTGATAGAAAGATATTATTAGCGGTATGATCACTATCGCCATCGTCGCTTGAATGATATATTTGTTTCTTTTTACTACTATCAGTATTATTTTCTTCTGTTTTGAACTTCATATTATCTTCCTTTAAAGTTTCTTCAATTTCTCCATCCGTAAATATTTTCTTACTATTTTGTCTAAATATTTTCATAGCGTTGTATTCTTTTTCATCGTTAGAGCATGATACTTTCAAAGCACTTACTATCCTAAATTGCAAAAAAAAAACGTATTATTGTAACTATTTAAACGTTATAATTATATTCACGTTATTATTTATACTTTCTTATTATTAACATATTAAATAACAATTGCATTAATTTACATACAAAATTAATATGCTGTCCTTTTGCAAAATAAAAAAATATGAAACCTACCCAGAAATGTCCATTTCGTATCCCATATCAAGCATTCTGTCAGCTTCATCTAACACGAAATATCTAACATCATTTAATCTCAACGCTTTTGTGTGTTTTATGTGATCTAATAATCTACCAGGAGTAGATATTAATATATTACATCCCTTACGTAACCGAGCTTTTTCCGCTTTTCTCTTTTCCCCGCCAATTATGTAACTTGGTACGATCCACACAAAAGGCTAAAATTATTTAAAATGTAATTTTGGTATGTCTAATAAATGCTAATGTTTGCAAAATTTATTCATCTAGCTTACTTTAACCAATTTTATAAAGCACTCATACGTTTGCAAGGCCAATTCTCTTGTTGGAACAACTACAAGAGCCGATAAACCACTATTTCTATTAAGTTCAGGTCTAATTTTGTGTAACAGTTCAACAATGGGTAAAGCATACGCTAATGTTTTTCCAGATCCTGTCTGAGATCTTATTAAAATATCCTTATTTGAGAATATTTGAGGGATTGCTTTTTGTTGAACAGTTGTCATTTTAGTTATACCCATATTTTGCTCTAAATTTGATATCTGTGAAAAAAATTATAAATTGTTATTTTGCTGCAAATATTTTCATTGCAAATGTTAGCTATCATAAATACTAACCATATATGGATGAATATTGAGATCTGCGAAAGTAATCTCTGTAAAAACTGATTCATTTACAGGTTTTACAAATCGCTGGCCTATAGTTGGTACGTCGGGATTATTACCAAATAAAGAGGACATTTTTCCACTAGCTCTGTGCATTAATTTTGGAGTTTCATCTGATTCTTTGTTGTTATTTACAATTTTCTTTTTCTTTCTTTTTTCTTTCTTTTTATTCAAGATATCTGTCTGCTTTGCATTTGTTAAAACAGGTGATTCTTTATATTTCTTATCTGATTTAAAATTATCTTTAGAAATGCCATGTTTTTGTATTAAATTTGGAGTATCTAATTTATTTTGATTTTTCAATTGATTTGAAAATATATCAGAAAGTGATCTCTTCGATTCACTTGTTGAATTATCTCTCTTTTTTGCTAACAATGTTCTACCAACATTTTCTTTTGTTGTTTTTGTAAAAGATACAATTAATTCATTTGTGGAATCAGAGTTTGCAGTAGAAAGAATCTTATCAGATTGTAAAACTGGTGATTCATTAATTACTTTACATGTCTTGACTAATTTAAAATTATTTTTAAGAATGTTATGTTTTTTAGTCGAATTTAATAAATCTGTTTCATTCTGATTTTTTAACTGACTCGAAAATGTAGTAGAAAATAATCTCTTCGATTGATTTTTAATCTTTGATTTATCTCTCCTTTTCGGCAATGGTGTTCTATCAGTATGTTCTTTTGTTGCATTTGTAAAAGATACAATTGATTCATTTATGGAATCAAAGTTCACAGTAGAAGAAATCTTATCAGAGTTTACATTCTTTTTGCTTATTACATTAGACTGTTCAATTCTTTTTGACTTTGCAGCTTTCGCTGTTAGGTCTTTATCTTGAGATGGAATTTGAGGATGCAGTACGTTTCGACAGACAGAGTCTGCTTCTTTCAACTTTTTAGCAAAGATAGCTGATAATGACTTCTGTTTTATTCTTTTCTTGTACCCTGTTTCCTGCATATCCATGGTTTTTCTTGATTCTTTGCTATTTAGTATTGCATCTTTATGGAAAGACTGATTCTTTGACTTTTTAATTGAGGATTTGAAAGACTTGGTTCTTCTCAGTGTATTCTAAATACAAACATTTATATTTTACGTTATGCATCAATCTCTTTCTTACGTTTTCAGTTTTCTACACGCAATTAAATAAAATCTGTGCAAATTCTTCGCACATATGCAATGCGTTTATAGACCTTTCCTAACCTATAATCTAACCATAACCAAGCACCTACCTTTTTCGTTCTAACAGCTGGACCCGCCGTTACATTTAAACAGATGTCCATGTCTTGAATTGTTATTAGTACGTTTGTTTGTCACAAATCACTTTTTTCTTAAGTATACAAGCGCGGAAAAATAAAGTACGCATAAAGTCATAAAAACATCTACCATGCCGTAGAAAGAACATGTGGCAAACTGCGCGAATGTTGGCGCATGCGCGCATCTCAGAGCGGAGCAGAGATTACAGTAGGTCTGATCTTTTTAGTTAAAATTCTTGCACGGCTCATCTTTCTTCCTTTTCTCTTCACATTGGAGAGAGAAAGAGAAAAGATGAACCGTGGCAAGAAGTTCAACTAAAAAGAACAGGCCTAGTGTTTTCGAAATTATAATGTTTATATGAAATTCATATATATTTTTTTTACCAAAATTAAAATATTAATTATTAATTGTATAATACTATATTAATATATATTTGTAATATACATTTGTATTTTGTGGAACTGCACAACTTACGGTTATGCTTAATACAGAATATATTATTTTATAAAATAATTATATACTTTTTAAAT